CGCCTCCAAGAAGGTGAGATGTTGCGCACAAGTATTGATGTTATTGATATGGTGCAACAAGCCCCAACGATAAATTTGCCCCTAAGAACATGCAAGTTTAAAGATTTCCACAATCTGTAAAAAAATAAATATGACTGCAAATATACATATATTAATTAGAGTTTAATTTATCTTTTTTATTAAAACTTGTAAAGCGAAGTAGTATGTACGGTGATGTGATTTATCGAACATTAGTTTATCATTTTAGTTGTTTTATATAGTTTAGACGATATGTAATAAATGAAGGTATATGCCTCGACCCTCGAGGACTAAAATCCATTTGCCTAGTAACTCGTCAACGTCTTGTTGTAAATCATAGGTTTAATAGTGTAAGGAGGTCCTATCAAAAAGGCGATTAAACATTGTTCTCATCTTGAAAAGTAATTAAGGTCCGATGTATCGGCTCCTCCAGGTTACACTTCAGTTGACCCCGTTGACCCCAGCAGGTTTTGACTTGTAGTCTCCAGCTACCGCTCTAGCTTAAGCAGTCTAGCGACGCCTCATGCTCTTACGCAATGATTTGACAATATGGTGCTACAGTAAATATTTGCTAATAATATATTAATTAGGTTTAATATATTAGTCACGCTGTTTACAGACGGAATCTGTAATTTGTTTTATTATTAGTCTACGTTTAATAGTTAAAATTTGTGGCTGTATATGTAAATTTTTTTTACCAAAATAAATAAACACGGTCTTTGTTAGTTGCATGATTAAACTGGTACATCCATATCTCATCGATAATTTATGACCTATCTGGAGCTGAGTAGATCTTCTGTACTTTCGTATTTTTCAAATCAACACTCAGTCAATCATCACTAACACAAATGACTAATCCGGTTCCCAGCCGCACGTAGACGGCACGAGCCGACGAGGACCGAACTGACAACGGTGGACTGGATAGATCACCGGAGGACGAGGACCGCATGTCGATCGACCATGTACCGCAGAGCGAGCGTTGCTACGCGTGGAGGAGATATTTAACCATTTGCCACATTTAGATGTGGTAATTAATTTTTTGCCACTGAAACCACATGTCATAGACACATGTGGACTCATATATCATTCAGATAGAGGTGGTAAATAGTTATTTGCTAAATCTAAAAGTGGCAAATAGTTAAAAGCCCCCGCGTGGAGCGGTGTGGTTAGCTGCCGGTCAGATGACGTCCCTTGCACCCATAAATGTAAATGGTTCAGAAATTTGTAACCAAAATTTCAGACCCTGGAAACTGATCCAAGTTGTTCAGGCCATTTTGTAACTGTCGTTAAATCCTGGATTTCAAAATCATGGTCATCGCTTATTGTTACTTCGGAAAAAATACTTATTGTCAGACATCCGATACAGTCACAAATATCGAACGCCTCCACCCACTGTTAGTAGTACATGTGTTACGTTGTGATTATTTTTTCTTGTGCTCAAGTGCACCTACAGGTGATATACGCTTATAACTTTTTTTAAAAAACTTTAAACAACTTTCTTTTTTTATATTTTACTTATCTGATCATACTATTGAGATAATCCTCAGCGTCGGGCGCCCAATCCGGTGGAAAAAAAATCAGGCGCCCGCACGCGCTGCCACGTGGCCCTACCACGCGTGTCCGTACGCTGCCACATGTCCACAAACATTTTGTTTCAGCTAGTATACATGTGATGTTGCACTAGTGTACTCTGTTTCACTAGGTATAGATCAAATGTTGCAGTGGATTGAAATATTCTTTTTCAACAAATCACCCACATATTTTGAAAACCCTCAATTAAGCGAATTCGTTTCATTTTGTTGTTCCACCAAAAATGTTTCACCTAGTGTACTCACAATGTTTCACTATGCATAGATCTAATATTACAGTGAATTAAAATATTCTTTTGCAACAAATCACCTACATATTTTGAAAACCCTCTATTAAGAGAATTTGTTTTATTTTTTGTTCCACAAAAAATGTTTCACCTAGTGTACTCACAATGTTTCACTATGTATAAATCTAATATTGCAGTGAATTGAAACATTCTTTCGTTATTTCCTGAAACATTATTTTTATACAAGGTGAAACAATGTCCGATTTAAACAATTAAAATATTTTCGATCTACTTAGTGAAACAATTCTGATATACTTGGTGGAACAACGTGCGACATTTATAAATAATTCAATAATAAGCTAATTTTTTTCGTCGGAATATATCCATGTGTGGTCTTGTTTAAAAGATTTAATTGCAACGAATTTAATGTTGCAATCGGATCATGATTTGGATAAATAATTTAAGAGAAAAAATAGTTTAAAGTAGTTTTGCATGCATGCATCATGCTGACGTCAACATGACGCGGGCGCCTGATTTTCCCATCCCCGGGATTGGGCGCCCGATTCTAAGTTGCGTCCATACTATTGTATCAGTTCGATAATGCTCCAAATCGGGCGCCAGGGGGGAGCAAAAAAAAAAAGGGCACTCCCCCTGACACGCGTGCCGCCCTGCACACCTGCCACATGTCTCCACCACACACGCCATTGCAACAAATCACCCAGATATTTTGGAAACCCCTTATTAAGGGAATCCATTTCATTTTTTGTTCCACCAAAAATGTTTCACCTAGTATACTCACAATGTTTCACTATGTATAGATCTAATGTTGCAGTGTATTGAAACATTCTTTTGCAACAAATCACCCATATATTATGTAAACCCTCTATTAAAGGAATTAGTTTTATTTTTTGTTCCACCAAAAATGTTTCACCTAGTGTATTTATAATGTTTCACTATGTATGGATAAAATGTTGCAGTGAACTGAAACTGTCGACGTTTGATATCGCGATTCCGGTATTTGCACAGTATGGGGATCGTTGGTACTAGGATGTACGCGAGACTTAAGTAAAAGAGACGGAGACGAAGATTTTTATACAGGTTCGGGCCCCTGAATTGTCAGGTAGTAGCCCTACATTCTGTTGGCTGAAGCCGGTATTGCTTTTATTCACCATAATCACACCAGTACAATATTTGGGGTAGCCTATCTAACTGTTGTCGACTTGGTGGTCTGTAGTACTGACTCGTAGTCGATAATAGGGTAGTCTTCCTCCTCGAATCCGCATCCGTCGAGATTAGGGACAGCGCTATATCTCTCCTGACAGTAGCCATCGGCACCGTAGGGGATTAGCCATGCCTACTCCCTCCAGTTTCATTTTAATTGACGTTTTGGACAATAACACGGTCTACAAAATATATCTTTGACCTTATTTTTCTATTATAATATATATAATAAATAAATGCATGTTTACTTTTATTATAGTGCTTTGAAAGACAAATATATATATATATATATATATATATATATATATATATATATATATATATATATATATATATCTTGTTATAGTTCCTTTAAACTAAATATTTTTAAAGTTATTGATGGTCATAGTTATAAAAGTTTGACCTCAATATTGTCTAAAACGTCAATTAATATGGAAACTAGAGGGAGTATCTCTGAAGTCGATATCTGGCGTCTTGTCTTGGTGTATGTTGGCTTGTATGTTGATCTTCTATCTTGATCTATTGTTCCATATCCCCTCTCCTCCTAGAGGGCCTTGTATTTATACCCATAGGTGTCCCCTTGTCCAAGTAGAACTAGGAAAACCAATATGGATACAATCCGAGTAGTTCTTGTCATTTTCATGTAGAACTCTGGTTGTCTTTCCTTATCCGGAACTCCTACTATATCCGAAGGTTGTTTCTGTATAAGACATGGTATGTGGTGAACCCTGCCGAGATTTAGTCAACTACTATTAGGTATGTGGTATCCATAACCCTGACAGAAACATTCTTTCGCTATTTGCTGAAATATTGTTTTTATATAAGGTGAAACATCGCCCTATTTAAATGATTGAAACATTTTCAATATAAAAAAAGGGAAACAATTCCGATATACTTGGTGGAACATCGTGTAACATTTAAAAATAATTCAATAATAAGCTACAAAAAATTTCATCGGAATATATCAATGTCTCTTGTTTTAAAGATTTATTTGCAATGAATTGAATGATGTAATCGGATGGATAAATAATTTAAGAGAAACAATAGTTTAAAGTAGTTTTTGCATGCTGATGTCAGCATGACGTGGACGCTCAATGTGTAGTTGCCTCCGTATTTGTTACAATTAAATCTTTACAACAAGATCTCACTCGATTATATTCTGATTATTTTTTAAAACTTATTTTGTATTGTTGCGCATAGTTTTACTTAGTTGTTTCAATAAGTATTTCTTAATGTTTCACTGTTTCATATATAAATGTTGCACACATTTTTTCCCCACTGTCTAAAAAATGTTTTAGCAAAATAATTGTTCTTGTAAATATATCATATTTCACGTGACTTTAAATTTTTCATTAGTTAGGACTAAATGTTTTGTACAATAATTGTTGATGTTGCAGTCGGTATTCTCGAAATGTTGCATATCTTTTAGACACATTTAATTAAATGATGAAACTATTTTTCTATAAGAAGTGAAACAGCGCTCGATTATTTTTTTAAAAAAATATAGCCATATGATATCTTGTTGCAATGATTTAGTTCTAATGATTACAATAATGCAATTATATTGAAGATTGGATAGATAAATTATTAGATAAGATTATGTATAACTTGGTAAATAAGTATATATATACATGCATGCAAGAGGTAGTGAGAGAGAGTTGTTAGAGAGGCGTCCAATTTTAGAGAATTTGTCGGACGCCTGATGCGTAGGCGTCCGCTATTACTACCTCCGTCCCAAAATAAATCAATCTTATACAGGATATGATACATTCTAATACAATGCTTAAATTTATTATAAAAAATTATGTTACGAGTTTGGTTTATTTGACACTGAAAAGTACTCCCTCCGTACTCGTAAAGGAAGTCGTTTTAGATAGCGACACGATCTCCAAAACACAACTTTGACTTCTTGTTTTTATAAAAATATTTAGTGAAAAGTGATATATGTATATTTTTATGAAAGTATTTTTCAAGATAAATCTATTCATATAATTTTTATATTTTTAAACTTAACAACTTGACTTAAACATTATTCTAAACGGTATTCTTTACCAGTACTTATGTAAGATCCGATGTATCAGCTCCTCCAGGTTACACTTCAGTTGACCCCAGCAGGTGTTGACCTGTAGTCTCCGGCTACCACTCTAGCTTAAGCAGTCTAGCGAGCTCATCGCGTCGCGCTCTTCTCGACGAGCTCCAATTTCAGGCAAGATGTCGATGCTGCCGCGCTTCCTCCTCCTCGTCGTGCTGCTCGCGGTGCCGATGACGGCGGCGCAGCAGCAGTACGAGGCCAACGCGCAGGGCGACTGCTACACCGACAACGGCAGCTCCGTCCTCGGCTACACCTGCGGCACCGCCGCCTCCCCGCCGCCGCCGCCATGCACGGCCTACCTCACCTTCCGCTCCGCCCCACCGAGCTACGCCTCCCCGATCACCGTCTCCTACCTCCTCAACGCCAGCGTCCCCGCCGTCGCCGCCGCCAACTCCGTCCCGGTCTCGCCTCCGGTCGCCCGCGACGGCCTCCTCCTCGTCCCCGTCCCCTGCGCCTGCACCGCCGCCGGGTACTACCAGCACGACGCCGGCTACGTCATCCAGTTCGACGACGAGACCTACTTCGTCATGGCGAACGACACGTACCAGGGGCTCACGACGTGCCAGGCGCTCATGGCGCAGAACCCGGCGCACGACAGCCTCGACCTCTACCCGGGAATCAGACTCACCGTGCCGCTGCGCTGCGCGTGCCCGTCGCCGGCGCAGGCCGCCGCCGGCGTGAGGTACCTAGTGACGTACCTCCTCGGCTGGGACGACGACTCGTCCACCGTCGCCGACCGCTTCGGCGCCGACTACCAGGCCGTTCTCTTCGCCAACAACCTCACCGACGACTCCACGGTGTATCCCTTCACCACGATGCTTGTCCCGCTCAAGCATCGGCCCAAGCCCGACGTGACGGTCTTGCCGGAGCCGGGGCCTCCTTCTCCGGCTCCGGCTCCGGCAGTGTCAGCTCCGCCGCCGCCGGCGGTGCCTTCCAGCGAATCGGGCAGTGGGAGGTGGAAGAAATCCTTTCGCGGTAGGTGTATCGGCATTGGAGTTGGTGTTGGGTTCGCCGTTCTTGCGTCTGGTGCTCTGCTTGCTCTGTTCTTGCTACGGCGTCGGTGGCGGTGGCGTGGCAACGGCGAGCTTCACGATGTGCCGTTGGCTCCGGATAAGGAGGGAGCGAAGGCGACGCCGCCGCCGTGGATGCTGCCGACGACGGTGGCGGACGTCGACGTGCGCGATGCCGTGGGATCGATGGCCGTGTACGAGTACGGCGAGCTGGAGCGGGTGACGGCCGGGTTCGCGGAGGAGCGGCGCATCGGGGACTCGTCGGTCTACCGCGCGGTGATCAACGGCGACGTCGCGGCGGCGGTGAAGCGCGTCGCCGGCGACGTGGGCGCCGAGGTGAGCGTCCTGGGACGCGTCAGCCACTCGTGCCTCGTCCGCCTGTTCGGCCTCTGCGTGCACCGCGGCGACACGTACCTGGTGTTCGAGCTCGCCGAGAACGGCGCGCTCAGCGACTGGATCCGCGGCGACAACGGCGGCCGCGCCCTCTCGTGGAGGCAGCGGATGCAGGCGGCGCTCGACGTGGCCGACGGGCTCAACTACCTCCACAACTACACCAGGCCGCCCTACGTGCACAAGAACCTCAAGAGCAGCAACGTCCTCCTCGACGCCGACTTCCGCGCCAAGGTCTCCAACTTCGGCCTGGCGCGCACCGTCGCCGGCGCCGGCGGGCAGATGACGTCGCGCGTCGTGGGTACGCAGGGGTACATGGCGCCGGAGTACCTGGAGCACGGGCTGATCGGGCCTCACCTCGACGTGTTCGCCTTCGGTGTCGTCCTGCTCGAGCTCCTGTCCGGGAAGGAGGCAGCGCCTGCGCGAGACGGCGGCGAGGGTGGCGATGGCGAAGCATTGGCGTTGCTGCTGTGGGAGGAAGCGGAGGGGCAGCTGGTGGTCGACGGCGACGATGACGACGCGCGGGGCAAGGTGGCGGCGTTCATGGACTCCCGGTTGCGTGGCGACTACCCGTCGGAGGTGGCTCTCGCGATGGCTGCGCTGGCGCTGCGGTGCGTCGCGCGGGAGCCCCGCGCGCGGCCGTCGATGGTGGAGGTGTTCCTCTCGCTCTCGGCGTTGCACGGCACAACGTTGGATTGGGCCCCCCATGCAACCCTGAGTTGAAATTAGGCATCGTGCTGAAAGAAGCATGAATTATGTACTAGTAGTACACGATAAGCGGCAGTAAAAAATATGAGGCAATTAGATAGGATAGTAGAATCATCACAAAATTGTGAAACCTAATAAATATAAATAGCTCAAATATACATTTTCGAGAAAAATAATACTAGAATGTTACAACTTGTGGGCTTGCATTATTGCGTTATAAGACCCCTACGCTATAGCCGTCGCACAGCAATTTATCTGAGATTCTACTGGCCCCTACCTTTTCAATGACCTGATGTATCCTAGTTACAACAACGATGAACCTTTTTAGTTCTTTACTATACATGTGAAGCTGCCTGACCTTTCAGGACCTCGCCATCAATCAACGCAATATCACAAAAAGAATTGTGGCAGCCAAGCCTTCGGTTGCAATGCACAAGAAATAGCGATTTGATCCGATCTCAACGCACGAGGAGTCTAAAACAGTATGTGCCAACGCACAACTGTCAACATTTGTCTCGAACAGGATCATACAACTCCTAGCTTGAGGAGCTAGCTCGATCCCTGCAAATGCACGCAACGGAGATTGTTCATGTTAGAAACCCAACAGAGGGATTGCAACGCAGAACACCCACCACCACCTCAAAATAAGCACACCTTTACAAAAGTTCAGTCATCGGAAGTTGCAGAAATCATGTGGTTGGTCTGGTCATTGTTGATAGACCACGGCCTCCAATAGGACCCATGCCATGCAGGCCCATATCGAGCTCATCATCTGCAGTTCAATTGCATCGTTAACATATAAAATAACAACAGCAAATAACGGATAAAACCACAATAAATTACACTAGACTGCAACTAGCTTCTACTAGATTAGCCCAAGTTAAAAGGTTTCATCCTAACTGTCTAACTGACGCAAAGTAGCAAACCATATAACTAAGGATACTTAGTGCAAAGTTCAAACCACATACCAGTCGTCTCTTCGCCAGATTCAGCACCAGCAATCCCAATGCAAGCAAACAAAGAAGATTCATCAACTTTTAGGTGCTCATATGCAAGATACAAGTCCTCAATCGTGGCACTTTCATACAACATCGTCAATTCCTTGATGCAGGATATTTCCTGCATTGATTTGATAGGGACGAAATACAGTAAGACAGTGATATAATACCAACAAGAAATAAGATTTTTTAGCCTGAAGTAACCAAATAAATGGGAAGAAATCCACAAAATTTAGAGAAGAAATCATACAATAACGGATACACACTACGTTCACAGCTGTTCAAGACTTCTTTTTACAAACCACGGTCAATAAAAGATGATGGGATTACACGTTTCCATACTTATTACTCCCTATGGTCATAAACATTCGACGTCTCGGACAAGATTCATCGAACTTATATAACTTTTAAAAAAAGTTTTAAAAGTTTGACTATCAATTTTGTATTCGAATAAATTTATGCTATTATGATGGTGCTTTTCAAGCCAGATCTATGCACCCCATTTTTCTTGTTTTTTTAACTAAGCGATTTGAGAAGCTATTAACAGTCAATGTTTCAAAAGTTTGACCAAATCTTGTCCTAAACGTAAGTATTTATGGCCGAAGGGAATAGTTATTTTCACCCAATAAAACATTCTGTTGTTAGTTATCCTTAACTCCATGAATTGGTGGTGAAGTATGCTTACAAGTGCACTTAGGTGAAGGCCACATATGCAAACCCTTGTTCTCCACAGTATTACTATTAGTATGTCAAGGTGAATGAAGTACCAATGCAGTTAGAGCTATAATGTAGAGTAAGCTTATTTCTGATTCTGTTTCTTTTTTCTTTTTGGTGGAGCGCACACACAAACAATTTATGCTTCACCTTTCTAGGCACAGATGAAGACTGCAGATGGGCTAGTAAACCAAGCCAATAGGCATTTGTCTTTGTCTCAGCCTCATGTTTCATCAATAACGTCCTCTTTGCCTGAAGCACATGAAAATTGCCATCAGCAATAAGAAATAAAACCAATTAGCATGTAGAAAACTGTGTTGTTTGCTGCTCAATCTTCTCGTACTGAGGCTGTACTTAGCTGTATATGAAAAAATCAAGCAAAATGTGTAGGTTCACTTGTTAAAACTATCAAGTCTAGAAAGTTGACTAACCCGGTCCAGCTCCCTTTCAACAATTTTGTTACTATGTAATCCTCTGAGAACACCTTTGCATGCATCAACAGCTTTATGAACCTGGAGTCAGAATTGACCAAATGTAAGAAAGAGAAAAGTTGAGACCAAAGAAGACAAGGCACATAGCACAGCAAGTTCAAGCTCAAAGGGAAAATACCTTGCTCGGGGTTGATGTTACTGCAATCACATACCAACCAAGGTCCAATTTGTCAAAAAGGTTTAGTTCAAAAGAAACATCGTAGGTTAATCCCATGGAATCTCGAACTGTTGTGAATAGCCTGAGAAAACAGCCATCGTGTCATGTTAATCTTTTTAGCAAAATGCAATATAGCAGTCTCTCCAAGACAATGATATCACAACACTACGTTTTTACGGTTAAGAACAATGACACATGTATAGTGAAACATCAAGGGGAGAAACACCGCATGAGTTACTAGCACTAATCACTAGATTATTCAAAGGTTACCATGACATGCATTCTGTAAACATGATAAGCTAATAATGTTCTAATAAAACAAATAGATGTGTGGAAATATTTTACCTAGAATTAATAATTTCAGCCAACAAACTCAAAGTGATGCCAAAGAACAGAGAATGGCTGCGAACGTCATTATGTTTCCTCTCCGTAAGATCTGTGTTTGCTGATTCAGAAACTTGAGCTGCAAAGTATGGCAGTATTAGCTTGTATGCTCGTGTCAGGTCTAACTTGTAGGATATATGGTGCTAAATGAGGTAATTCACAGTGCAGTGCATGTCTTTTTTTAGAATTACCATCTCCACTAGAACTCCGGATGACATTGAATAGATCATTCCCTTCAGTTGCAAACCCCCAGCGATTAGGTGCAGGGCCAGCAATGTAGGCACAAGCTCTCTCATCAGTATCCTTTATGTATACCTGGTAAAGAAGAGCCAATGATCAAACAAACAAATACAAACATGCTCGCGTGCATCTATCTTTCTCCCTTTTATAACACTAGTTTCATAATGACATGTAACTATATGTTATTAAATCATTAACATAATGAAGAAAAAAGTATCTGCTTATGAGGGCTACAGAGAACTTCATACTTGCTGAAAATGCAAGTCCGAAGGAAACGGCAGGAAGGAAATCTTCTCAATATGCTCCTGTGTTTTTGAAGATTTTGGAGCACTCACAGTCCCAAGATAGTCAAGAACACAAGATTCGACCTCTTCTTCAGTGAAATCACCAACAATACTGACCTGGAAAATTTATTGTAGATAATATTAAATAAAAACAGACAAAAACAATAGGAATATGTTGATATGTTAGACCAATCATACAGGCGCAATGAGAACACACTTGAAGGGGAAAAAAGAGAAAGAAACTCGAAAACGATGAATTACTACACTAACCTCCATGTTGTCACCAACAAACTGGTTCATAACAGCATCTTTGACTGATTGGAGAGTCAATTTCTGCAATGAATGTGGTGATGGCTCTACAAACCTTTCATCATGGTTCAACATGGCTAACATAAGCTTGTGGGCTGTAGAGCGCTCCAAACTTTTGGGAATGGAGCGATAGTAAGACAGGTATAGCTGAGTTGCTCTATCAAATGCATCTTCTAGCCACACATTATGCTGTAAAATGGAGACAAAAATTTGTAAGCATGAGATATTTGCATTAGGGAAAACGGAGTTCTCCTATAACAACACAGATGAGTATACAATGTAGTTAATTGAAAACCTACCTCAAGGACCATATGGAGGAGTTGGAAAGCAGCGCGCATGCCATTGTCTCTTAAAGCAAATCTGAACTCCATAAAAATGAACTCCTCATTGGATTCTAATGAGCAGTTTATGAGATTATTCACACAGAAAAGTTCAACCTGAAATCATATAAAGACTTTATGAAGTGCTTTAGAGTTTGAATAATTAGCAGTACAGCTTGTTCAAAGGTAAACAATCTGTGAGAAAAATACATTTGACTCCATGCAACTATTGTTGTTAGAGGATATGCATGGGAATGAATGATTTAAAATATTGAATGGACAATATAGAACTATGTTTTATTTATGAACGTGATGACACAGAGGGTAAATATTCTTGTGGCTAGTCCAAGTATTTTTCATAAATATATAGGGGCTCAAAGTTAGAAGAGTCTGATTAGCACATGTATTGAAGTGGGTGAGGTAGATGGAGGTAAAATCAACAGACAAACTGTAACAGTTTGCTAGTAGACAAATCCGTATGTTGGAGATACCTGTTCCCTTGAAAAGTTGCCAACACAGCCACCTTCACTCAAAGTACGAACACCAACAATAACAGATCCCTTAGATTCAGAATCTTCTGTTGCCCTCCCACCACCTACTATCAGTCGCATAACACCAACCCTTGCCTCATTTTGTGTGATCTGTCATCAATTTACCACACAATTTTTACAATGGAATAACAAAGTGAACTACAACAAAACTGGAACAAGACACTGTTCAATCCTGATAACAATAGCCAGAGGTTTCCAATTTATTAGTATTACCTTATAATTGATGGAAATTCCATTAGAAAGGCGGCGCTGTGCTATACCAGTTTCATCGTCAAATATTTTCACAACATTCTCCTCTTTACTCAGAGAAGCAAATGATGGTTTGCGTTGCAATTTCAAGTCCTCAAGCTCAGACCGAGTAATCAGTTCTTTTGGCACCTCGAGCTGTAGCCACAATAACAATAATCATTTAGCAACCAATCAAGACACCAGAACCAAACAAGATCCCAAACATACTGCTCTACACCAGGTAGATAGCTCACAACAAGCAAGAGATACCATAAGTAACCAACGTACCTCAGGCTCTGGGTAAATAGGTTCCTCAAGACCCGCCTTGATGGAATCAGTTATTTCTTCCGGATGTATCTCAAAATCAGTTTCACCTACTCCATCCATGTGGACCTTTTTGGGTACACAGGCCACAATAGCAGCAGGAAGCGGTGCATCAGGCTTTCCATAATCTGAAATAAATTCCAGAACTTCTGCACCAACAGTGTTGACCTACATATGGTAAAACATAATTCATTATGTATAATATGAAGTAGTAGAACTAAAAACAAGGCAAAATGAACTGATGCCATGCCATATATTTATTTTTTTCCTCTGTGACTTGTATAAAAGAAAATCGCCATACCTCCTCAAGGGTGACGGTTTCAGCAACAGCAAGCAAACTTTCATGCCCCTGCAATTGATCCATAACAGTATGGCGAAGTGCATCACTCTCCATAATGAAGTCCAAGTTGTCAACTGAGGGAACACTATCAATCATCATAGCCAGTTGCTCGCTATCTTTTATCAGTGCATCCATGTAGCGGGTCATTTCCCCCATTGTGACACCAAACTCTTTGAGTCTCCTAACCTGAAACAGCAGGTAAAGATAAGTTAGTAAAAGTAAGGGAACGCTTGAGCTTCCCTTTAAAGAATGCTTGGGTTGTGTTGGGACCAGGTTGGATGAAGATCAGGTCAGATTAGGCTTTGGCTAGCAGCGTTACACAGGACATAGGCAAGTTTTGCTTTATGCGGGTCTTGTGCTAATAAAATCTTGCTTCAATAACTTCCATTGAACTGTTTCTTTTTTCTATTTGTTCCTTCCAACAATTACATTTCCTGAAATTATCTATGACTGTCTATATATAATTCCATTGATTAAATTGAGTGTGAGCTAGAACAAGTCATGTAAAACAGATAAACTGGTCATGAGTATACTATACAAACCTCATGAACGGCAACTTTGATGGCACTCCTCCAATTCTGGGGTTCAGCTGTTACTGTAAGAGTAGTGACAGTGCAACCTTCCCTTCCAGAGTCACTATGATCCAGCTCGACGGATGTAAAAGGAGGATTTGAGCTCTGTATAAAAAATACAGCATTCATATACAGGAAAGATGTTTTTATCACTAAAAACTAGAAACAAGAAACATGGAACTATTAATTACTTAAACCTAATTCCAAGCAAAAAAAAAAGAGATGATTCCAAACAAATGTAAATACTTCACTGGAAAGACCTCAGGCCTCCTACAGACTTATGCAGCAAGTCTAATGTCCAGTAAAATGCATGTCTTATGTCTATCTGTTAAACATGTACAAACAATCTACAAAAAGAAAAAAACATGTGCTAGATATAGATATAAAAGAATGCAAATCATATGAACTTATCTGCATTCTTTAGAGAGATAAACCAAAGAAAGTCTCAGCATAAGTGAAAAAATTAGAGTGATTCAAAATTCACGTTGATTAAATATCACGAACCTTATATCTTGTATTGATTCGAAAATGCAGAGCAGATAAAAATATCCGCTTCATCAGGACACTTCGCAGGTCTTTATATGTCTGAACTTGGTTAACAGGTATCTGTCCACAAAAAGAAATCAATTAGTTAGGCATATACAAATGATGCATTTTTAAGAAAGTTCAAAGAGAAGAGTAAGCTTAAAGCTAAAGACTGTTCTCATTTGAATCATAAAATAGAATCATATCTGAGAAGAGAAAATGAATAGTTAGGCACAGGCGGAATATGTGTGCATGTGCACAGAGAGGGAGGGAAGAAAGGGCTATCAAACTTTTCGCTGATTACAACAAAATACTGGTTCCCATCTACTATATATTATAACAGAAACCACTATGGAAACATCTGGTGTTAAACTAAGCTAACACTAAGCTGTAGAGGCACAAAGCGCAACCCAAATGCATTGTTCAGTTAATCCCTCCCCCAAAGGGATTGAGGGGGATTTATTCCACATCTATTGAGGTGTGGAATTAATCCCTCTCAACCCCTTCCTCATGAGGATTAACAGAACAAGCCCTAAAGAGTAAAATTCAGCAGATAGCAAACAATCATACCTTACAGAACATGTTGATTGAGAAACTCTGGATCAATTCATGTTGAAAAATTGCTGGAGGCTTGGCATCCTGGGCAACTCCAGGAAGAGACCACTTATGTTCTACAGGTGGCCTAATTGCCTGTCTTTCCCTTTTCACAGGCTTTATTTTATCCGCAGCAGGTGATCTTTCACCAGTTAGGCTTGCAGCCAAGCCACCAGGTAGCTTTGGTGCAAAAAGGCTTGCCATAGCACCAAATGGACTTGCAGTTGACATAGGGGCTGCTTCACCTTCTGGAAGTGTATGTTCAAACACAGCCTGCATTGCATATGAGTCAGTTTACGATTAATCCAAAAAACAGATCAGCAGAAATATAAGAAAAAACAACAGTTAGGAGGTTGTAATTCTAGTTACCTCTATTTCTCGTATTGCTCTGGGAATATCATCGATCTCTCCTACCAGATATAAAGTAGCATTAGCAGGGTAATACCAACGCTCATGAAATCTGCGGATCTTATCAGGATCCCATTTATGTATCTGCTCTTCAAGTCCAATAGGGAATCTTTCGCTCAGTTTGTTTTCTGAGTGCAAATGTTGCAATAACTACACCAAATGAATTGCAATTAGTATAGAAAGATAGTACCCTTAAATATGAATTGATTTAGCATGTGTCCCAAGAGGAACAATCCCTTCTCAGAGGATGCCCTAAAAAGTGGTACAGAGTAAAATAATTACTTGCCTGACAATCAACACGATACTCGATTGTGTTCATCATCTGGAGCTCTGAAAGAATTGCTCTTCTCTCTTTCTCAACACGAGAAGAAGAAAATTTTGGATGAAAAGCTATCTGGGAGAACAAAAATTTGGCAGAAAGAGAATTTGTTAAACAGGCTACCCAAATGCATGTAAAACTTTTATCGCCAAATGAAAGATAATTGTTATTTGAAAGGCCCTTAACCAAAAAGAAATAAAATGGTAGCAAAAGCTGCGCATATAGCCTATACGTAACATCCCACCTCATTCAATGCATCCAACACAGAAGGGAGCAAGTCTTCACCATATTCCTGCCACATAAAAGACAAGCTAATATGTTAAACCCTTAAATAAACAAGAGAAGACATCAAATTTGGACCACCAGATTGAAATACCTACATATGTTAAGCGTTGAAGACATGTTATGCACATAATATGGCAGTCAACAGTTTCCCAGTTGATTTTCATATATATTCTTGTCAAAGAAAATATTCAAAGCAATAGAAAACAGAGATAGACTTAAAGAAACAACCGATGACTGCAAAAGTACATACCTTTGTTTTAGTTGGAGAATGTATATGGAACACGGTATGGTGGAAATCTGTATATGCATTAGACCTTGCACCTGTCCCCAAAAGTTTTTCACGCTTTTTACTGCCAAGAAATGCAACATGCTCAATCATATGTGCAATTCCCTGCTCATCTTCTTCCTCATCAATTGATCCAACATGAACTTCCATGTGAGCCTCAAACCTGCAAAAAAGATTAGTTAGAATCTTGCATCAGCATTGCACCTAATCACCGGTTGACAAGCATATTAGAACATTGTGTATATGCTCTACATTTAGCACAAGTTTGTAGTGTAATTTACTGGCATGAACTAGGCCCCAAGCCACCGTATAATATTTGTCAATATATCAATATACTGAAACAATTTTGATGTCCAGGAATCAACACTAAAGTATATTGAATGTTTAAAGGGTCCAAAATCCAAATAGTTATGTTGCAACGAAATTAACATAACAACTTGTCAAAAGTCAAAACTGTAGGCCCCCACACTGCTAGGAAATACAACTCACGGCATCCCAAATCATGTAAATACTTTTGTTATAGCAGCTGAAGGTTATGTTGGTACTGCTGCAAAAGAAGGGTTTATAGGTGGAAATGAAACAAGTTTCTTCACCTGTTTGCTGGAACTTTGTTTGGTAGAATAAGATATCGGAGGCCATTCTTCAATTGTCCTCGGACTAGCTTTGGATGAGAAGGAAGCGGTGTGTTAAGAAAACCTTCAAGTTCCTCCTTCCCAATTGGCTGATCTACATAATGTTTATCCAGAGCAGTTTCAGACCAAGTTGGACTTGCAACATGTGGTTCATCAGGTCCAGCAGCATGTAATACATGGCGACGCCTGATCTGAAAATCATCAAACATCGTGGTCAGAATTCATGAATTTTATTCCATTGAACCACTTTAATCAAGAAGGGGAACTATGGGATCATGTTATACTCTGTAGTGCCATATAACCTTTATTAATTTATTATTTCCTGTTTTATAACATAATTGAAGCTGGATTCTTTGAATAAATACAAGTAAATGCATCAAAACAAACATATGAAAAGACGTGTTCCTAATTCTCGAGTGTGTTCACTGTTCACATGCCGTTGAGAACCAGCCCTGAAGAATGGTGCTTTAAGCGATGATTTGCAGTACAGTACTTCTTTCTAGCTTCAACTTTGATGTTAATTCAACAATTAGCTTGCCATTTGTGCTGTAAATTAAAACATGCGGACCTATCCCATGTTTAAGATTTCTGTATAAGTCGGAGAAATACATACAGGCGCACTCAATGCTTTACTGATAGCGATATCCACATTTGTTGTACCGATCCTATTCCCAATAAACCACACGCACCATTAAAAAGCAACCGAGGAGGACACAGCATCGCAAGCAAGGGAACTGGCCACTTTTGTCCACAACACTCATCCAATGATCCCCAATTAACTGAACCGGATTTTCCTAATCTATCAATTCAGACGCATTACGGATGACACGAACCTTAGCGCCAGTCAACCCGCTGTGGAGCGACGATAGCCCATAGGTGTGCGGGAGCGCGCACGGCGCGAACCTCGCGAGCCCCGGCCTCCCCCGCCTCCGGCCCCTGGGGAAGCACGAGAGGCACCCTTCCCTCTCCTCGCCGAGGCTCCCAATCGCCGCCGAGGCCGCGCCGACAGCTTCCGTCCGCCTCCTCAACCTGCAGGGCAACACACAACAATCCACGCTGAAAATCAGAGTCTCGCGGGCGGCCAATTCCGCTGGAACCCTAGACGAGTGGGGGCGGGGGCGGGACAGAGGTAACCAAACTCCTCTTCGGGCTCACCTGGGCGACACGGCGCGGCGGTGGATGCAGCGGAGGGGGTTGGCCGGGGCGGCGAGGGCGATGGAGGACCGGCGCGCGAGGGAGGAGGGCCTGCGCACGGCGGCGGCGGCCAGGGGGAGGCCCGGGGCGAGGCGGGGCGGCGCTGCGGCCGCCGCCGCGGCGAGCGGAGGGGAGGGGAAGGAGGCCATCGCGGTGGTGGGGGTGAGATGGCCCTTGGCCCGAGGGGAAGGGAGGAAGAAGAGATAGGAGAGAGAGCAAAGCCAACGCTGCTCCCCTTTATTTTATTCTTTTTTTCTCTTTTTATTTTTTATAATGCTTTTGTGACGGTGAAAATAGCGGGGGGCCCACGCCACGGCGGCGGCGGCTTTCGTGGAGACGAGGGCGCAACGCAGACGCGAATCGCAAATATCGTGTGATCTCGCGCGTACCGGATTGTGGCCTGGGTTTGGGCTGGGGTTTTTGGTTTCGTGTTCCATTTTTTGGGTTTCAGCGGTTTGAGCCGGACCTGGAAGATATTTCCGTTCGATGTGACCAGCTTCACTTCATCACATGATTGAGGTTTTTCTTTCTTTTTTTTCCCCTTTTCGTTTTGTTTTGTTCTTCCCATTAGTAGAAGTTCTGTATCCTGCAATACAGATATAGCCAAATTTGTAGGCATGCTAAGTAGCTGGAAACATCTAGCACGTACATTTGATTTTTACTTTGTTGTAATTTTAGCAAAGCATTTGTTAAGCTTTCCAGAACATAACATGGAAGAAAGTTTGTTGCATGCATACAGGCACTTTTGATGAAATTTATTCTTGTCTTAGAAGTTACACGTTCTCTTTTTATCCTTTTACGACAATGTCTCATGTTGGCATTTATATGTTCTTTTCTAAGTAACCTCTATTCCAACCTTCTCCTATTTGTTACGTGTCTTTTCCACCAATATAACGCCTTAGGCATTTTTTTCAATGTATATGACATGAATATTTTTAAGATTTGTTCTCACCTCTAGTGTTACTGATAACAATTGGTCGAGTGGTCACAATGTCCATCTGACCACTTATAGGTTTTCATGATAAGGGAGAGAGAGGATCGTGGAAACATCGACTAGAGGATATGATTTTTTTTTGCTTAAGTTAATGCGATGGGGGTACCTTTTCTACATTTCTTTAGTGGAAATGGAGGGCTTCGCCCTTTGCTAAAAAAAAAGCGATGGGGTACCCGTTCCATAGTCATTCCATGCACTTGGCTTAAGCCCAAGATAGCTACAAGAAGACTTTCCCTTTATAACCCAGCTGCCTATTCTCATGTTCCTCTCAAAATTAAATATAGCGTCTAAATAATCTCTTGATGGCTTCCTCTTAATTAATTGCAACAAATTCTAAGTGAGACACATTTGCCATTGTGTTGATAAAAAACACGAAGCCTGGGAAATCTGCTTAACTCCTGTGCAGGTCCAAAGATTGATGAGATGCGGACGTGCCAGTCAGTTTGATCCTGCAACTGACAAGTTATGTAAACAGCAGATAAAACAGCCGATCGGCTGATAAGCCGATGGAGTAGTTCCAGCCAATAACCGATAATAGCCGATGCCGATACCAGCCGATAGCAATAGGGTTTAAGCAATCGGCTATATGTCCAATGTAGATAATGAGCGATAGGGTTTAGAGCTATCGGCTATATGTCCAATGTAGATAATGATATAAAGGCAATCGGCTGATGATGATGTAATGAAATAACAATATAATCCAGTATAAACCAATCGGCTAGCAATGATATGATAAATAAGCATCGATCCGAAGGTTAAAGCACACATCGGCTGGAGGTCCGATGTCATGAAATCCACAATATTAGATTAAACAGTGAAACCTTTGTTGTCATCGACGAAATCCAACTTATATGTATGTGCAATCCTTATGAGCCGATGCAACGTCCAGATAACTCACCGGCTGAAACCCCGATGAAACGCTTATTGGCAATCAAGAAGCATGCTAGAGATTATGGTTCTAAGCACGACTTAGTAGATCAAACTTAACTGATGCAGCACTAAGTATGAAAAGAAACATAATATCTAGACAATCAAGTCGTTGACTATGTTTTCAGGGTGGTAGATGCCTAGGCTAATCTAATCTAGCAACGCGATTTAGCCGATACCGGCAGAAACCCTAAAGCGAGAGACAGCCAATAAAGCTAAATTGATATGCTAAGACTAGATTAACAGAGACATGATAAATAGGTAGGCAAATATATCATCCAAACCAGAGCAATCCAAGAGGTCGAATGTACTGATGCAGCCTTGAACGACGCTGACGTAAACGATACAATTGCCTGGGCCGACGGAACATTGGACTTACCCTTTTGCCGGAGATCGAACACCGATGCAGCCCCGCGTCAGGTGCCAAGTCCTGTCGGACGATAAAATAAAGTAGAAAAGGTAAAAAGTGGCGATGCGCCGAATACAACCGAATTGTATTGATCACGAGGATAGATTACATAGACCCTAAGTGTACATATTTATACCCATGGGTTGATACAAGTTCTTGTCGGACAAGAAAGAAACTTTCCTAAAGATAAAAGGAAAAGATAAAGTCTCTTATAGGACACTAAACACACTTTCCTAAAGATAAAAGGAAATTAACAAACTATTCCTAATTAATAGATAACTTGCCATGCCGCATTCTCTTTGAACTCGGTCTCTTCTGGATAAGCTTCCTTTAGTAGATCAATTTCCTTAACCGAATATAGCAAGAATCCGACAACTGACGACTTGACAACTCTCATCGGCTAATCTCAGGACTTCGAAGCCGATGCTGACTCTAAGCCGATGACTACTTCGGGCTTGCCAAATTTCACTGTTAACACATTGGTAAGTGGTACTAAGCAGTAACACATCTCATTGATGTTCCTTATCTCAGGTAGCCCTATTATGCTCTACTTCCTCGTCAATGTTGTCCCTCTTACGCTACCTATGCACCTCAATCTGCTGTTTTTTTCCCAAACCACATCACTGCCATTTACTACCTCCGTTACGTAAAAAACCAACATAATACTGGTGTGACACACCCTAGTACTATAAATCTGAACAAATATCTGTCCAGATTCATAGTAGTAGTACTAGAATATGTCACATCCGGTATTAGATTCACTTTTTATGGGACAGAGGGAGTATATATCAGTGTAAAATGGAAATTTGCTAATTCCGGCTACTCCATCATCCTTCACAAAAAAATGAGCTATAAAATATTGGGAATGTGTCTTCTGGTCATTAGATTGTTTCCTAGAAAAGAATCAACCGATTCCACGTTTGCAATCTCTTCAAGATCACCCAATTAAACCGTGCAAGCACACAAGAAGATCAGATCAACACTGTTACGTAGACGTCACGTTAGCGAAACTGTCATCTAAAACCATCGAGAGAGTCAAATTGCACCAGTTTTAATAGTTGCGGGTCAAGATATCCGGTATTGCGGTTCAAAATACAAACTAGATTCGGTCACTAGTTAAGATAGACAAACTGAACTTATTCCATTTTCAGAGGAAAAAAATATTCCAATTGTTACCCACGCTACGGGCCCATCCCACCTCTCAGGAATACTGGGCCTCGTGTCGTGCCAGGCCCAATACGCGTCCCCTGTTCCACCAACCTCCTCTCCTCAGATGCCACGTCACACACTGTCACACACACCAGCCAAAACCCGCCGCTACCGATCGCGCTCTCCAGATCGATTCCCCCAACATATTAGGGCTCACGCCTCCCAAAGTCAAAACAGCCCAGCCCGAACAAGCATTTCCTCGAACACTTCGCCCTCCACCACCATGGCCGCCGCCGCCTCCACCCTCGCCTCCCTCTCCGCCACCGCGGCCGCGGCCGCCGGCAAGCGCCTCCTCCTCTCCTCCCCCTCCCGCTCCCTCTCCCTCTCCCTCGCCTCCCGCGGCCGCATCGCCGTCATGCCCCACCTCCGCGCTGGCATCCTCTCCGCCGCACCGAGGAGGGCGGTGTCGGCCTCGGCCCCGGCCGCGGCCACCATCGCGGTCGGGGACAAGCTCCCCGACGCGACGCTCTCCTACTTCGACTCGCCCGACGGGGAGCTGAAGACGGTGACCGTGCGCGACCTCACCGCCGGGAAGAAGGTGGTCCTCTTCGCGGTCCCCGGCGCGTTCACCCCGACCTGCACGCAGAAGCACGTCCCGGGGTTCGTCGCCAAGGCCGGGGAGCTCCGCGCCAAGGGGGTCGACGCCGTGGCCTGCGTCTCCGTCAACGACGCGTTCGTGATGCGGGCGTGGAAGGAGAGCCTCGGCGTCGGCGACGAGGTGCTCCTCCTCTCCGACGGCAACGGCGAGCTCGCCCGCGCCATGGGCGTCGAGCTCGACCTCTCCGACAAGCCCGCCGGCCTCGGCGTGCGGTCCCGCCGCTACGCGCTCCTGGCGGAGGACGGCGTCGTCAAGGTGCTCAACCTCGAGGAGGGCGGCGCCTTCACCACCAGCAGCGCCGAGGAGATGCTCAAGGCGCTCTGAAGCGTGAACAACTCAAGCCATCCTCCACTTTTCATCTCAAATCTCCATAGCTCGGTTCGTTGCCTACTTCTCTCAAGTGTTCGCTTCTTTTCCTGAATAATAAATCATGGCAACAATGGTGGACCGTGCAGAGTAGTGTTGTCGTTTTGATGTGTGAAGCTTCTATAGCGAACATAGTGTGCAATTTTTAGGTAACATATATGAGTCTTGGCCTTGCACTGTTTGTCAGGTAGTAACAACTTGGCACAGCTATAGACTGTAGTAACAGAGTTCCTTTCATGTTGAATGGTGAGGCTGTGATGTGTTCTAGAGCTGAATAAACGTGCTCTGGTAAATACTGTCACCAGATCAGACTATGGAGTAGTAGTAAGATTTTGCTTGGTTAATTGGGCAATGGCTATTTTTCAGGATCGTTCAGTTGAGATAAACATGTTTTGCTGTTCAGATGAGTTCGAAATGCCGTTGTTTGTTCTTTTTTTAATGCCGAATATATGGTGAGAGATTCAGCAAGCCAGGGGTCAGATGCCCCTTGGCATGAAACAAAGGCTCTTCTTGCATTTGCTGACAGTAGTCACTAGTCAGATCTTATTTATGTATGGATTTCTCAAAATTTGCCCATTTCACCAACCCTACTGAAAAGAACAGACACTGCCGAGTGTAACACATGTTTTAGGCATCTCGGGAAAATTCCTCAGTAATGCAGTGTAGTGCACTTTGGCGACTTTGTTATAATGCTTTGGGTGAACTCGTTGTTTACTTTGTTAGTTGCGTTCATAGAGGTTTACTGTCGGTGATATGGGCCCGGGGGTATCATGTTTAGAGGCCCAGAGATTGGACGGAGGAGGCTGCCCCCCAATGCCACGTGGCCCTCCCCCGAGGGGAGTGAGGCCTGAGGTGGGGTGGCGGCCACTCCTTCCCAAAGACTAGTCGGAGGAGGTTGCCCCCCAATGCCACGTGGCCCTCCCCCGAGGGGAGTGAGGCCCGAGGTGGGGTGGCGGCCACTCCCTCCCAAAGACTAGTCGGAGGAGGCTGCCCCCCAATGCCACGTGGCCCTCCCCCAAGGGGAGTGAGGCCCGAGGTGGGGTGGCGGCCACTCCCTCCCAAAGACTAGTCGGAGGAGGCTGCCCCCCCAATGCCACGTGGCCTTCCCCCAAGAGGGGTCGGGCCCGAGGTAGGGCGGCGGCCACTCCCTGGTCGAGACTAGAGGGGGAAGGCTGCCCCAGGCGCCACGTGGCCCTCCCCCGAGGGGGGATCGGGCCCGAGGTCGGGCGGCGACCGCCCCCTCTCGTGACTAGGGGTCGGGCTCCCCCAACCCCCTCTCTAGGTCATCACGTACGGTGGGTTAGGTGTCCGCCTATAGGTGTCCACTTACCCGCATTTATGGCGACCCGAGCGGTCGCGCCACGCCGCATTTAATGTGCCGTGCAGTATACTCAACCGGTCTGTGACCGGTCGAATCACCGATGAGACTGGGTAGTGCGCCTGTGCGCTGCTCGTGTGTCAGGCGGCGTGCAGCCTAACATGTCCTATCAAATAATGATGGTGAGAGGTTCTCATCCTCTTATCCCAGCCGGAGTCGGTCCTCCCGCCCTGGTCAAAGCTAGGCTCCCGTTTCCCGGTGTAATAGGAGCCCGGAAGTCTTCACCCATTAAAAGCAGCTGACATGGGCGCCCCTCGTGTCAGGCGGCAAGATTTGACAGGCCCCATCATCAAGATGACGTGCGCTTGCTTCCCAAGTCAAGAGATAAGACAGGCATTTAATGCAAAACACTTCTTTACCGGAGCTAGGTTTTTGGGCCCATGTGGTAACCCCTTGAGGTATGAAAGGAGATCCAGGCCTAGTAAAAGGGGGAGGGATCCGGGACGATCCATTTTGATGCTCTAGAGCAGTCTCTAGCCCCGAATGATCAACACCACATTTTACTTCAACAAGAGGATCTTGTAATCCTTCACTTAAGGAGCATAGCACAGGAGTAGGGTATTACGCTTCTTAGCGGCCCGAACCTGTATAAATCCCTTGTGTCTCTTTTGCCTCGAAAACCTCGGATCTCACCCGCTGCCCCCGGCCAAACCAAAAAAGGGGATCTCACGATCTCCCGCTAGAGAGGATCACTCCTCGACATTTACATTAGCATGCCGTGATTCAGGCCTCCGTGTAGACTACTTCTGCATTCTTTTCTCCACTTCAATTGATGAAACGAAAAAAAATCCTATTTATCTCTTTAGTTATTGTCTGTCCGAATTACCCTCCTCAACTTCAATACAGGACATTATACCACCAAACTTCTTAAACCTAATGAACTACCCTTTGATCCCAGTCCATGTAATTTTAGCCCTACCTGGTAGACACTCGACAGTTCAGTTAGCAAGGTTATAAAGATTTCAAAAAAGGTATAGTTGATCCCACTCGTTAGTCTCTTATTCCTCTTAATTCTCTCTCAACTCCCCCCTCTCCCCCTCATGGAGGTGTCCCTAGAGTTTAGTGCCCTAGAACCCATGGCAGGGTTGGAGTACAGAGGTACTCCCTCCGTCCAAAAAAAAAAAGACAAACCCTGGGTTTCCGTGTCCAACTTTGACTATCCGTCTTATATGAATTTTTTTTTATAATTCGTATTTTTATTGTTGTTAGATGATAAAACATGATTAATATTTTATGCGTGACTTATCTTTTTAATTTTTTTTATAATTTTTTTAAATAAGACGGACGGTCAAACGTTGGGCACGGAAACCAGGGTTTGTCTTTTTTTTTGGACGGAGGGAGTAGCTGTGTAGCTCGGTGTCGTTGATCCCTGTGGACGAGCTGAAGCCCCAAGCAGTGGCACTTGTGTCAACATCAATCCTGTCGGAGGAGGAGCTTCATGGCGGTGGTGGCGCATGAATGGGGGTGGTTCTAGGAGAGACTGCTTTAGGAGGGGAGCGTAGTTAGGTGGTGCCGACATCTACATGTGAGGATGGATGAGGGGAGCGCAAACGCCGGCATTGCCGAGGAGGAAGGGGAGGCGAGGCTGATGGGAGAAGAGGTTGCACATCGGAGTACGAAGAAGAAAGCAGAGAGGAGGAAGAAGACTAGGAAGAACCGAAGGGGCGGACAGGTGTGCCCATTGTCATTAGGGTACCACAATACCTTGGGAGTACTGAAGCCACCCTGGAGTAGGCGGTCGATGGGTGGGGCTGTTCATCCATGGGTTGAAAGAAACCTGCCTAACCGGCCGTATTCATTTTTTCTCGTACCATATGATTATGAAGTGTGTTAATGTGTTATTGGTACCTAGACGCTGTTCTAGAAGACAATGACATCGATGCTCATCCGTGCGTTTTGATGTAAACCCGTGCTTTTCTTCAGCTAATTTTTTCTTCGCTGCCTTCGCTGCACAAAGGCAGCCAGGACATGGGCCTTCATGGGCACGAAATTGGCGCCCTTTCATCCCTGGAAGACAAAGTAGACTTATTCCTTTATCCAGCAGCAATACGAAAGCCCATTAAAAGATCAGCCCAAAGAAGCCCACACGAACAGGTATAGGTGCAATGCAATCCACCTCAACCCTAATCCCCATCCATTTCCTGCCGCCGCACTCCTGTTGCGCAATCGCGTGAGTAAACAACAGGTAGCGACCGCCCAACGCCGCTCCTCGCGCGGTCGCGCCCAACGCTGCGCCGCCCATTAGGCCCTTTACAGTGCAACACCGTGGACCGGTGCTCCAGCTCGACACGTCGGATTCGAGCTTGCGTGGCGCTAGGGTCCGCGCCCCAGCAGAGGACCTCGCTCCCGCGGAGGGAAGTGCGATTACTCCCTGCCGCGAGCCCACGCGAGGCGAGGAAACGGCGGCTTTTCTGCGCTGTGGAGCGCGTTGCCCCGCCCACTCGTGCCCTCGCGGCAACAAATCAACAAATCGCAGCAGCCGTCCTCTTGCTTATGCTCCTCCTCCTCGCAGCGGCGGCGGCGGCGGCGGCGGCTGTCGCATGAGCAGGTGGCGGCCGGTGCCGCGGGGTCCGGAGTCGTGGGAGGAGCAAGCGGCGTGGGCGGCACGGCTCCTCCAGCGGCTCCCAACCTAGTGCTCACCTCGCCCGCTTCCTCCTCGCCGCCCGTTCTTGAGCTGCCACCGCCACGCACGCCGAGCCCGTCGACGCCGTGCTCCGTCGTCTTGGCCAGGAGGGGCCAGTGAGCTCTCGCGCCGCCGCCGCCGCCGCCCTCCGCGCCCTCGTCTTCAGCCAGAACTGGAGGGGCCGTCCTTCGCTGCCGCTCGGCCCGGAGGAGAGGAGAGCCAGCGCCGGCGGAGGGAGGAGGGGAGAGAGCCGGTGTTGAGACTGAGTAGTAGTTGGGGGATTTGGATAAAGTAGTATTTGTGGGTGAAGATTTACATTGTTCTCTCGATTTTAGGGTGGTTACTGTAAAATTTGGACTCCTTTGCAAATTGATAAACACATGAGGGCTGAAATGGAAAGTTACAGGGGCTGAAATGGAAAAGTAAGTCACTCATGAGGCTATTTGCACCGTGGGAATAAAAAAACTTGAATCCGGGTCTTCAGCCTATGTGGAATGGGATGAGGGAACACTGCACTGTGAAAAGCCTTAGTTCCTTGCGCCCAGCGCCGCACCGTGTTGCTGTGCCCTCAGCCTCGGCGCACATTCTCCTCTCCTATTCCTCCCGAGTTGAAGCCTGAAAGGGTAGCCTCATACCCTAAAAAAAGAGAATGTTCCCGTGAGTCCAAGACTGACGCCTTTTGTTGATTCCGGGCCCTTAGATGCATGATCAGATGCGTGATGGTTGAGATTGTCCCCAACGTGCAGGTCAAGCACAGCTCCAACCCTCTTCGCTGCTTCGTCATTGCCATCAACAAGCTTCGTTGTGTTGTCCACCATCGTTCTCTTTGCTGTTGTGCATCCAACGTGCGGGGCCCCGATCGGGTTCCGAGGACCCGCTAGGGTGAGGGTGGGGGCGGGAGATTTCGCCCTAAACTCCCGAACTCCTGGTCAGGGCCGGGGGTGGGGCGAAGAATGCGGGGACAGGGCCGGGGGCATTCTACCTCCACCAGGCCCCGACTCATCCCGTTGCCATCCTATTCACGTGTCGCTATCGTCCTCACCGCTCACCCCATTGCCATCCTATTCACGCGTCGCTGATCGTCCTCACCGCTCAGTCTCTTACATGCAAATGAGGTGGATGCTGCAATCGGGAACTTAGTCGAGTCGCTAGATGTGGAGAAGGAAGATCGTGAGATTAGGAATTCGTGGATTGGGGCATGGGAATATGTTGTAATGGTTCTTTTTTGAACCCCCAAATCCCAAATTGGGATCGATGTGTGGATACCATAGGTGATGCTTACCAACCTTCAGTTTGGAGGTAGTCTTTAAAAAAGTTTCGAGGTGGATAGCACAATGTCGTCTCGTCTACATGCACTCTTTGCAATCCATATGGTGAACAATGCCGTCGTTTAACTGAAGTTTCAAACCATTGACACGACAGTTGAAAGTAACTT